ACATTCCTCAGTGATAAACCAAACGAAAGCCAGCACCTTCATTTCTGAGTCATCCGGTCAAGCAGTCAGCAGTTTCACTGCGTTTTGGTTGTTGCTGTGCCCCACGGAGAACAAAGACCGAATGGCCTCCCTTCCCAGTGTCATGTCACAGAGGATGCGACTGTAGGGACACACACTTGCTATTGACCAAGGGCCATCCAATGGGTTTTTCCATTTCTTTTCTTGAAAACATTCATTTCTTAATCCAGGAGTCTCAACCTTGGCACTGTTGATGGTTTGGGACAGAGAGTCCTTTGCTGTGGGGGGCAGTCCTGAGCACTGCTGGATGTTTAGCAGCATCCCTGGCCTCTATCCACTGGATACTAGTGGCAAACCCCGCTCCTCCCTTGTCAATGCCTCCAGACACTGCCAAACGTCCAAATGGGCGGTTGGGTGGGAGATCTTCCCAGTTGAGAACCACTGACCTCGCCTATCTGAATGAGGCATCACAGAGGGGGAACCCAGGGAGTACCCAGGGAGTACGTAAACAGTGCCCTCCCCAGGTGGAATTTGCAAGTGTCACCTGCTGGCTTATGCTAATACCAACCAATAAGGTCCAGCATAGTGTGTTTATTCATATCATTTTCACAAATACATATTTTAATACATCATTTGATTAACATAGCTGAAACTCACTAGCATTAACCATACTGTGGTTGCTAAAATTAATTCAGGACATCATTTAAGAAGTCAATACCCATGACACAATTCGGTGCATCGACTAGTCACCTTCAACTTTTTATCAACTCACTCTGATTTTTCCATCCTCCCCAAAGGCCATCTTGGTGGCTGACCCTCCATCATTTATTCGCTCTTTGGCCAAGAACTTCTGAGGTGTTTCTCTGTGGTGTTCTTTGCTTCTTTATACCCTATCTAAGCCAGCTAGAGACCCCAAACCAAATATTTTTGTATTTGCCCCATAAAATAATTTGCTTCTTCCTAATTGTGAAGCAGTTAGGTTTTAGCTTTAATTTCTACAATGGAAAAGAGACCAGTAAAGTACCAGCGAGGCCACTTACTGCAGAGGGGAGAGCTCAACTAGACAGAGGAACCCTTAGTTCTTGGCCCAGTGGCCCTAGCATCACTGGGATCTTGGGGGAAGTTACTTCATCTCTGAACCTCACTCTCCACAGA